ATTCTTCCTCCTCTTGCAGATCTTCGTGTCATTATTTGAAGCGACACTACGCGTTTCGCGCCTATCATGCCATCTTCCTCGCTCTTTCTTAAATGATAGGTGGGTGGATGGATGGATAGAGGGATGAAGAAATAGTGAAATTGGATGACTAGTGAATGAGGGTATTTAAGGTGGAAGGGTGGATCCGGTGCTGGGTGGGGAAGCGGAGTTTTTACGCAGCGATGGAAAAATGCATCAGCGGTGAACGAGTGGATGGATAGGTGGATGCTAAGTGGACGGATGAATGTGGAACCAGTTTTGCATCGGTTGCGTTCGAATGTCTGTGATTCGTTGTGCTCATTACTTTCGCACGTCCACCCGTCGCATATTGGGCCTTTTGCACTGATCTTTTGCGTTATTCCACCTAACATATTTCGGGATAGTTGAATGAGGGTTGCAAACCAAGTGGATGAAAACGCGATGCATACAGACTCCATGGGTACGGGATGGATGCATCCAAGACGGATACATACATGATGGGAGATAGATGAGGGATAGAGACCAAGCAAATAGATCTGGGGTGGATGGTTAGGGAATGGATGAATGGTACGCATACAGGGTAGATGCTCCTTGGATTCGACTAGAAGCTGTTATTGAACCCTTCGAAACTCTTTTTAACTCCAAATCTGCCCTGACACCAATCAGCCTAACTTTGGTGCCATAATCTACATATTCCCTGATGACCGCACACTCGTCCAGAATAAAATACCTCCAAAACACTCTGCCTCCCTAAGCTTTTCCATCCACCCTCTAGACGCCTGCCCGCGCAAAAAACCAGGACAGTGCAATGTGGCATGCTGCATGAAACCTTCAGGGGTGATAAGACCATAGTAACGTCCCTGCATTTAGCCCTTTCACAAGCCTTCACTTGCCCACTCCTCCGACGTCCGATTATCAAGACAGAAAACACAACACTAAATTCAATAGCGTCAAGCGAGAATCTTTGTTCCATTTGTTCGGCCTTAATTTTCTGGTCTTGTTTGTAGCAGACAGATGGGTAGAGGGGGAAGGGAGGCAGTAGAGATGGAGGTGGGGCTAGCAGTACAGCGTGGCAGAAGGCGAGAGGACACGCAAGAGAAGATGCAGCACAAGCATTCAGCCATATCCAGGAAGCAGAAATGGGGGAAAATAAACGAACAAACCAAAGTCACGAAAAACTTCTCGAATCGCAGTGAGGCGGAGAAAGGGCTTCAACAACTCAAAGAGGGAGGAGGCAATGGAGCCTTTTTGAATTGTGTAGAAATGTTGTGATCGGCGAAGTGTAGTGATAGTGTGAATGATGCAGGATGGCTTGGTGTAGAGTGGATGGAGTTTCATCGTTTAGACGGGTAGTTGGGTACCTGGACAAGTGATCTCGATTCCATGGTCGGAGAAGTGGATATCAGAGAGAGTGGCAGAGGAATGGACGGTCACTTCAACGGCTTGGAGACGCTCCTCACCTGTACCGCTGCCATCACCACTTCCACCTCTACTTCGACGCAACCAACGCACCCATTCCAGAGGCTCGTCGGTGGGAACTACGTTGATACCTTCAACACCTCGACCGCCGCTCATCTTTGTTACTGCTTCACGTTCTAGGAAAGAGGGCGGAAGTAGTCGGCATTAGGATAGGCTTTTGACAACACGGAGTTGCGCGATTCCAGAGGCTTTTAAGACGTGACCTTCGGTTTCTGACAGCTTTTTGATCACCTTAATTAAAAAGAAGTGGCTGCTAAACCTCCAAAGTCAACCTACCCTCTGGCTTCCACTTGGAGATTCCAGCAATAAGCGCCTCCCCCGTGATGGGGTGCAGACACTCCCCAGAGAGCACATAGACCCGGGCCCGGACTTGGGTGAAAAATTGCGTCGCCATGGCAAAAGGCACGCGGATTATATAGCCTGGGACCCAGATAACATCTAGCCGGAGTGGTGAACCTGGGGAAAGAGTCTCTGGGGCTTTGGAGGTTGTGGAAGATGCGGGAGCCTTCGTGCCTAAAAGGGAATACGTGGAGGAAAAGGATGGACGGATTTTGGGAAGATAGATGAAAGAGTTGGTAAGCAACTGTAATATAAGCAAGCTGCAAAGCCTTCTTCCAACACTTTCACTCTGGCATATCAAAGACTTACCCAGAGCAGCCGAGCGAGCAGTTGTAGGTCTTGAAGGACGAACTAAAAAGGTGGGAGAAGAAAGGTAGATTTAACTCTGCAAGGGTTGATCCTTTAATTGTATTTTCCTCTCTTCATTCTTACCCAATATCGTTCTGGAAGGCAACACTGGAACTGGAATTCCCTGTGGATGTCCCCACTGAGTCAGCGGATCAAACACTGCACCACTACTATCACTGCTACCTACGGGCTTCTCTGATGACTCAGCCTCCTTACAAGATGGCACTTCCATATCTCCAGTCCCGCCTACAGCAGCAGTAGGGAACTTCTGATGGAAGGATGCCTCTGTTTCTTCCTCTCCTTCAAAACTTTCAGACTGATGTTGGCTGTAGAGCAGAGGATGTTGGCTAGAGAAACCGGAAGGTGCTCCTGACTGTGGTGATGCGACGTTGATGGCAGGGGAGGAAGAGGAGACTACTTCCGGTTTGAATCCAGGTGGAATGGGGGCAGCTTCGGTGTGGATCATAGAGCCGTTGGATGCCTCGGAACTGGGAGTGTGGATGCTGAGAAGTTGAAAGGAAGATAAAGAATAAATCAAACCTTGGATAGTGGGATAGACCGACTACCACAAGACAAATAATATTGAGATAGGATCCGATTTCACACTTACTTTTCGTCTACCGGCCTACCAGCAGCAACGTCCATAAATCCAATGTGCGGTCCATCATAAGTCGTCGAATCCGCTGGCTGTGAAGTACACTCCGTCCGCAATTGGTACATCAAATCACCATGGATCGGAGGCATGTTCTCCGGTGTGGACTCCATGGAATCTATGTGATCTGTAACCTCTGGAATGACCTTTCCTCCTCCAACACTTATCTCGTGTACTGGGAATTCATCATCAGTTGTCGCTGTTTGTGGTTGTGCATAAGATTGTTCCTGGAATTTCGTCACCTCCATGGTGTGATCGCCAAGGCTGGAGGGTGGGAAATTTGATTTAAGAGACCCGTCTAGCTCTGGAGATCCCGATAGCAATGTGGACTCGGCGATAGAAGCTTTCGAAGCGTCGACGACTTCACAGCATGTGGCATCACCAGAAGGAACTGCAAACTCCATACCAGCTGGAGATTTCGAGATTTCACGCTCAAAGTAAGCTTGGGATCTAGAAATGTATGATTCAACCGGCTGATGCTTCTTCGCATTATCGAAATCCACGATTATAGGAGACTGAGCGATCTCTACATCCTTGTGGGCATCAGTGTCTGGAGACAAAGCAAATTGTGCTTCATCCGGAGACCTTGCCAGGCCAGAGGTATCGTGAAATTCATGCTGCACCCCAAGTTCCATGCCAACTGAAGATTGTGAGCTTT